TTGTGCAATATTTTAATCCTATTTTATTCTAATATTTTCACGTGTAAATTCTATTTTCAATTTATTAGACATATTTCATTTATAAATTTTACTTATTAATTTAAAGAAAAATTGATATCAATTTAATTATAATAAATTATGAAATTTATCACTAATTATTTCGTGATAATTTATTCCGATTATTGATAACTTTGTTTATTTGTAAAATTTTTATTTTTCGATATTTTATGCATATTTTGCTAATCATTCCTTTTTTTACCTGAAATTTTCTTTGATCTTTTGTTTATTATAATTTTTATTTCGTATCAAAAAGTCTTTGCCAAAATTATGAAATTATTTAATCTTAAGAATATCAAACCTTTTAATGATAACAAACTTATCGGGTAGTAATTGTACTCAAAAATTATCTTAAAAAAATATCGTTGAAATATTTTCAAGAAATTATATAACAATCAAATTTATATAATTCATTAAAAAATTATTACAAACAACGAGAATGAAGAAATTTTGAATATTTCTCATACGTAAGGTATAAAATGCCTACCTGTTAAAATTAAGAAATATTCTCACCTCTATTTTAAAATCTTTTAAATTTTTAGATAAAATTTAATTACTTATAATTTAGTGCCAGTTGGTCATTTTCTTTTCTTTTCGTTGTAGAAATATAATAATGCCAAAAATTTCATTCATAATTGTTGTTGACCTATAGAAGGAGAAATTTTGTTTTAAAATTAGGATAGAAAATTAATTTATAAGTGAATAGAAAAGATCCCTCGTTAAAATGGATGGATAATTTGATGAGCAATCAAAAATGATGAACCAACAGATGTATGTATGTTACAATATCGATGATGATGATGATGATGATTAGAAGCCGGTTTTCTTAAAAGTTAAATTTATTTTTTTTTAGTACCTGGTAGAGGTGAGTGGATTGTTAGTTGAAAAAGAAAAGAGTAAAGTTAACGAAGTCGATTAATTTTTCTTTCTTCTTTTCTTTGATTTTAGATTTTGCTCTTTTCAACAATGTTGAAAATGCATGATTGAACGAATTGTATTTCCATTCATTTAATCATTTATTTTTCATTGGCTAATTTTTTTTGTGGTGATAAAGTTTTCCTTTAACATTATCAATTTTGTTTATCAAACCTTTACTGAATAACTGCCACTATTGGTTGCATTAATTCTTATCAATTTCATTAATTAAGTATAAGTTAACTTAGAAATGTGATTTATCGTTGGATACTATTAAAAGTTAATTAATCGTCAGATTAATTCTTATCAATTTCATTAATTAAATATAGCTCAAAATGTAATTTATCGTTGGATATATGAATTTAGTTTAATCTAACTTATCTTTCGAAATTTGTTTACTCCACTTAGGATAAATGATCGAAATTATTGTAAGAGCAATTGTATCGATATGGGTACACTTCATTTGAATGATCGAGTATTGCAGCAGATCAATTGAATTTTGTTATTATGTCCTATCATTAGAAGGCTTTTTTAAATTGTCAATTATTTCATTTGCTACGATGACAATCGTCGAACAGGTTCTATTCCTCTCTTAAAGTATTAGATATTTTTGCTTTATTATTATTTACATATGTATTTAATTCTTACAAGGAACAAAGCTGTCAGCTTTTTTTTCCCACTTATCTCATATCTCTTCAGATATTTATTATTTTTTAAAATTTCCAGTTTTTTTTGCTCGTATTAAATTTTTTTTAAAACATATGCGTAGTAGAGCAACTCCGTATGTGAAATTTTAGATATATTGGTAAATTATTGATAGTATAGTAATTTATCAAAAAGATATGATAATCAATAATGAGATGAATTTAGCTGGATTGAATGAATGAATAAGTTAGAAGATAAGTTGAAATTTCGTTGATAACATATCACATTTGAAACGCTTTTGTTTGTAAGTGATAGGATCGAATTTGCTAAGATTTGGAAAGATGAAATTTTGGATGAGAAATTTTTTCATCTTTCAAATTTAATGATTTCAGTTTAATATCAGTATAACTGTTTTGATCATAAATCATATTTAATATCAGTATAACTGTTTTGATCATAATCATACTACCGAGATCAACTATTATTATCACTTTTTCTTCGATGAATCAATAACAAGAAAAATAGAAAATTCTATTTTTCAATTCTTGTTCCACACCGAGGATTAATCATCGTATTGGATTATTTGGCAATTTTGTTTTCTTCAAATGTAAAATTAATTTTCAAGGTCATCACAGGTCATCATTTCTTATCTTCTGTCTACGAAAACGATTAATGGATAATCTCTTTCTTATATTACTTATCATTGAAATGTTGTTATCATCCATTGCATCCATTTCCTGCATCTATAAAGCTCCTCCTATTTTTTTAATAAACTTTCAAATTTCACTACATTTGTTAATTCTTCACAATTTCAAAGAGTAAACATATATTGTTTACATCTCTATGCTTAATTTTATTGTTTCATAAATATAAGCTCAAAAATAATTGAAAGAATTAATTAATGAAAATATAAGGTGGAAGGAATTGTGATCAAAATTTTTGAAATTAAAAGATAAAGATTGTGGAGCTATTTATTATTTACCTGTCTTTCTACTTTCTATGTTATCATAAAACAATTGACTTATTACTTCTTTACACTCTTTTTCATTTTAAAGTGATCTTACGAATGGAATTTTGTTGAAATACCACTTTTGTAATTTCTTAATATTTTTCTTCATCAATTTCTCTCAGATAAAATGTTCCTCTCTTTTGATAAACAAAAAATTTCCTTTTCTGATAATTAGTCGTAATGTATTTCGTTCTTTTGTTTTATTATTTCCACAACAAAAAATTGTCTCATTCTATTGTAATACATATATTATATCCATAGAGAGGACAACTGTCAATTGCAAATAATAGCTAAAAATTAAAGGCAATTTATTTACATTCATTAATTTTAATCAACATTAACAAAATTTACTCTTTTCATTTACTTCTCTATCATTACTAAAAGAATCATTTGAGGAAAATTAATCTACAATAATTTGTTAATTAATATTAATTTTTTATATTTATTGTTTAATTACCATACCATTTTTTTTTGTTTCTGCAAAACGGATTTGCAAAATTCAATCAGTATACTGTTTTTTTGTTTCTGCAAAACGAAAAATAAAATTAATATTTAATTAATTAATATTAATTATATATAATGTTTAATTATTATATCGTTTTTTTGTTTCTGCAAAACGGATTTGTAAAATTCAATCAGTATACTGTTTTTTTGTTTCTGCAAAACGAAAAATAAAATTAATATTTAATTAATTAATATTAATTATATATAATGTTTAATTATTATATCGTTTTTTTGTTTCTGCAAAACGGATTTGTAAAATTCAATCAGTATACTGTTTTTTTGTTTCTGCAAAACGAAAAATAAAATTAATATTTAATTAATTAATATTAATTATATATAATGTTTAATTATTATATCGTTTTTTTGTTTCTGCAAAACGGATTTGTAAAATTCAATCAGTATACTGTTTTTTTGTTTCTGCAAAACGAAAAATAAAATTAATATTTAATTAATTAATATTAATTATATATAATGTTTAATTATTATATCGTTTTTTTGTTTCTGCAAAACGGATTTGTAAAATTCAATCATACTGCTTTAACTGTTTCTGCAGAACGGATTTGCAGAATTCAATCAGTATACTGTTTTTTTTTTGTTTCTGCAAAAGGGAAAAATAACGTCAATTAATATTAATTACATACATGTATTGTTTAATTATTATACCGTTTCTGCGAAACAGACTTGCAAAAATTCAATCTTTTTTTGTTTCTGCAAAACGAACTTGCAAAATTCAATCATACTGCTTTCTGTTTCTGCAAAACGAAAAATAACTTGCATTAAATGCAAGTATAGCAATTCTTATTACTTTCTGATAAGGCTATCCCATAATATTACAATTATCGAATTTTAATAAATCTCTTTTCCAAATTGTATAAATCCATTGAATTCATAGAAAATTTAAACTTCCTTAATTTTGGTCACTTAATACTCGAATTTCTAAATATTTTAAAATAAAGTATATATCATATTACGAAATATTTGGCGAAGAGATTAGAGAAATATTCGAATTTCATTTGTTCAATTAAATGAAATCCGCAAAATCAATTTTCATTGAATGATAATTATTTGAATTTTAAATTAGTTTCCAAATTACTAAAACAAATGACTTCAAAGAATTTATGTAAACTTTTAAGTTTCCTGCGTAACTCAGATTTCAACAACATTAGCCGATCTTACTTACTTGCACATGCAAGTTTTAATGATACTGAAAATTTTTTAATATGACGTCGATAAACATGAACTATGCATTCTAGCAAAATTCAGTTTCGGAACGACTAGATTCATAACAATGAAGAAATATTTGCAAACTAAATCTCTCTAATCTAATTTAACAGTTAGATTAAAGTGGTAATTTAGATAAGATAAGCTCTTCAACTGATATATAGAATGAATGATATGATATAATATATAGAATGATAATGAATGATACAATGATAGGTTAATTAATTTATTCGGAAGATTTATAAATGGCAGTAAGTGGAAATTAGCGGTAAAAAATGAAAACGAATAAATGAGTTCAATTATTATTAAGTACTATTTTCAGTTCATTCAATTTTTGATTTATTATTATGAAAATACTATACTTCCAATAATTACAATTATTATTATAATTTTCCAAGTCTATGAAAATTTAATAATCCTAAATTAAATCTTTAAATTAATTAATGGGAAGTGTGAAATTTTCACTATGTTATTTTTGTAATCTATGAGATTTGATTTGAAGTGACGAGCAAAAAATGATTATACAATTTCAATTTTTTTGATTTATATTTTTGATAATGTTAGAGTTTAGAAAATTCTGTTATTTGCATGCTTCATTGCATGCATTGCTCATATTTAATTTTTTAGGCACGATATATCGAGAAGGTCAATGATGAGAAGTAGTAATGCAGGCACCGCAGTAACTCTTACGACACCGATGATCTCCGAAAATATTGACAACAGTGATACATGCGATAGGTCTATGCTTGTTCAGTCGATGTATGCCGGTAGTTCTGGTTCATATCTAATTGAGCAAGAGCGAGCACGTAGAAATCGTCCAAAGCCACCTCCACCTGTTAAACCTACAACACTGAAGAATAAAATTGCCTATAGAAATATCCAAAGCTCCTTTCCAGAAATTTCGAAATTTCACGTTTCAATGGTTGACAAAAATTTGCCGAAAGCTTCTTCTAATACAGTTGATTCATCCGAAACAGCAACACACGAAAAAAGAAACAATTATAAAGGGAAAGTAATATGCACCTCAGAAGATACCACAACAGATTCTGATCCATTGTTTGAAGCAATGCGAATAACTGATTTATGTATTGAAGAACTTAAGAGAGTTGAAAATGAATCATCTACCTTGGAATCTAGCGAGAAGCCAAATAATAGGACTACAATTACCAATAAACGAATAAGTTTAATTAATGAAGAAATCAAGAAACCTAAAATGAAGCCACCGCCACCGCCAATTCAATCTCTTCAACGTCCTTCTGCCAAAGATAGGAACAAGATTGAGACTATTGGGAAAAAATTAAGTTTGGAAAATGTTTTCGACACTAATCAAAATGTCACGCAGAATAATATGGATAGTAATGAGATTGGACCATCAAAACCTCATCGATTTGAGAGGTATTTGGACAGCTGGCATATACCCAGGTAAGTGGTAAATATTGATTGATTAATCAATCCTTTTATCAGAAGGGAATTTTGCAAAATTCAAAAATTTAAGTGCTTAAAAATTGCATGGAAATACCATATCCTGTCTAATATTTGCTGGACCATTTCTCTAACTCTACCAATTATCTTAGAAATAATTAATCAAACTAATTAATTTATGAGCCATTTTAGTGTACCATCAATACCACCACCATCGCCACCGGTACTCTCACCTCAGGATTCTGTTAACGACGGAATGTATGAAGAAATTGAACAGCTAACCTATGCAGAGGTGAAATACGTAAATTATTTCGTATCCCTAGAATAATGGGAACATTTTCATATCAGGAAAATGGTGAAATTGATAAAACGAATTTGTTATTCATCCTACTTTTCAGGAAAATGGTGAAATTAATAAAACGAATTTGCTTGATAGGCAAATCAATGGAGTCTTAGTGGAGGAAGGAAACTGTAACAAAAGGTTTGCAAGTTTTTATGGTATGAATTTTTCGTATGATATGAATATGTGTAGTATGAAGTAGTTTTAGATAGATCATAAAATCATATACTCTATGATCTATCTAAAAAATGTTTTATTATTCGACTAAAACTTATTCAGACGGAAAGACATTAGCGCCTTCTAAATATATATTCGCCGAGAAAGTCTATCAAAGTTATCTCAGAGGAAATAAATCTTTGGTACAATAATAATTTTTGATATCGAAAATTGAGAGGATATCAGTAATCAAGGATATCAGTATCGAATGTCGTAGAAAGAAGAACAATTTGTCGAGGAGAATTGAAGGACTGAATATTACCTTTGTAAAAAAATTTCACACTAAAGTTAAGCTAAAATATCTTCAGACTTAGGGATATAAGTTTACTTTGACAATAAAATGATGCAAGAATGCTGGATGAAATGAATTGTTTTAAATGTTCTTTGAATGAGTGAATGATAATATGATAAAGACAAAACCAATAATTCTCAATGAAGTTATAAAATTCAAGTTTTCCGAATATCATTACGATGTACTTGTAAATTTCTAGATTCTTAAATTTTTCTATCTATGATCATTAGATTGATTAGATAGCTTTATGTGTTTCAAACATCCATCCGGAATCCCCCTTCAATAGTTCAGTTTTTCCGAATATCAGAAAAGGACATAAATTAATACTGATAAATTTTGTAGTGGACAGGATAAATGTTATGTTGAAGAAGAAGGAAACAAATTAAATGATGGCTGTTCGAGTAGCAATCACTTTGGGGCAAAGTTACGAGTGCCAGATGAGGCGAAATATTATTTGAAAAACAAAAAAGTAATTTTAAACTTTAAATTAATTAATTAATTAATTTAATTGATTAATTCAATCATTTCAACAATTTGTTTACACTGGTTTCCAGTTTTTTTTTATTTCACATTTTCATTCATTCTGTTTATTTATTTATTTTTATTAATTTTGATTCACCTGATTACTCCATATATGAAATCCTATCAAACTACTGTAATAATACAGGTGGCTTTTGAATGCCTGTTTATTTTGAAAATGTTGCAATTCCGGAAATAAATTCCGGTAGAATTTCAACAGAACTTGTTGGCAAACAATTATAAATCATTATATCTTTTTTCGAAATGTAGCAGTCGGAACGAAAATGATTCTGAAAATTTATTAATTAAATCATTTAACTAAAACTTTATCATTTATTAACTAAAAATTTTATTTCCAAATCATTTCAATGAATTATACATACATATACTATTAAGAAAAACATTTTGCAAAATTGGAAAAGCAAATTTCAATATAAAAATTTCCAAGTCAATAACTTCATTCTGCAAATTCGTGATTATGCTTTTAAAAACTAAACCAAAATTTATTTATCATACCTGTATTATCATATAAAAATTCTATCAAACTTCATTATGAATTAAACTAAAATCCATTTATCATACCTGTATTATCATATAAAAATTCTATCAAACTTCATTATGAATTAAACTAAAATCCATTTATCATACCTGTATTATCATATAAAAATTCTATCAAACTTCATTATTCACATAGAAAAAAAATTTATTTTAATTCAAAAACTTAATATAAAAATTTAAGTATTATTTCTAATTAATTTTTAATTAAAATATAAAGCGTTTCATATAAATATAACAATTACATAAGAAATATTATATGAAAAATTTTGTTTATGCATTATATTTATTATAAAAATTTCGATTAAAATGAGTGTTTGAGTTTTGAAGACGAAAACTTTTGGAATTTAATAAGTTCTTCAATGTTGCAACAATGTTGTGATCAGATGAATCCTTCAGAAGTTTTCTTCAATATCACTTTTCTTTTAGAGTAATATGCAAACAAATGAAAAAGCAATTGCGATGAGAAGGCCTAAAAGTGCTTTGGAATTCTGTAAATTATTACGAATTAAATCCGATATTCAATTAAATATCACGAAAAAGGTTTTCTTATTTTATATTTTTGATAATGAAATAATGATTAATTAAACATATCGTTTTTTTTTTTAAGCATTTATTATTTTACATTTTTGATAATGAAATAACAATCAATTAAACATATCACCTTTTTTGCAAAATGCGGAACGCTCTTAAAGGCATTTAATTTGAATTAGCCTATTTAGAAAAATTAACTCTTTTTATTTGTTTCAGAAGTAAACATTATCAAAGTGTTAGAGATATATTTTTGGTAACGTTTACTTGATAATGTTTACTCTCTAATATTTTGATAATGTTTATTCCTGAGCAAATAAAAAGATTTAATTTTTCTCTTTAAAACATAGGCCTAATTCAAATTAAATGCCTTTAAGAGTACTGTTCCGTATGTTGTAAAGCATTAGTGCATGTTTGATGCATGCATTTTAGATGTCCACTCATTGAGTATCTTCTTCAATGAGAATCGCCCGTATATCTTTCTTTCCTTTGGATACTAATCAATGAAGGAAATTAATTTAGTTAAATTATTTCCTTAAAAGATATTTTAATTAAATAACAAATAAGTAAATTAAAGGTTGGCGAAATCAAATTCAAAGTAAGCTCAGTATCGCAGGAAAGACAACATTGTAAACGTCATTCATCGATATCATACATTGATCGAGAGAAATTAAAAAATCATGATAATGATAATATTTTGGCTCAAATAGATTTTCCGTTAGATGAACAATGTATTTATGGTGATGTTTGGTCATCGGATGAAGACGATCATATTTCCAGCGTTAGGAACAATACCTTTAAACAAGGTAACTTTTTATAAAACTAAATAGAATTTGATAAATCAAATCGATATTTATTCAAGAGTAAATAATGTTAGTATTGCTTCCTTTTTTCTCCTTTTTAAATTTCAATATTAATTAAAAATTTATCCAATTATCGATTTTTATTTCCTTTAGAGCAAACAAAAAATCAATCTGATGAAGTGATTAATACTGGTAAAAATGTGCCAGATGAACCATATTCAATGTTATCAGAAATTGAGCATGAGCTTCGTCTCCGATTTCAATCTCATGATAATATTCCCGGTGAATCTCTTAAACTATACTTTTGATTTTACGTGTTTATATATTATCGTAAGTGTTTTAAATTTTTCTGTTAACTGAAATAGCGTAGAATGTAATGTTACTTTCTTGCTACTTGATTAGTTTTAAAAATGAAATATTATAATTAAAAGATTAATTTAATATGAATATCCTTTTTTTCCCAGATATTGTCTCAAAGCGAAGATCAATGAGCGCCGATCCATTATTGCATGATAGTGCTTTGATGACAACCAGAACAGAAAATACATCAAGTGGCTGCAGACACATCCAAGGTTGCAGTGATACTGATAATTATGGAGTTTGTTGTCAGACTAAAAGTGATAAATCGAAGTCAACGACAGAAGGTTATGAAACTATTGTGAGTTTTTTTTTGCACTGAAATTTTAATCTAGAATTTAAAAAAGTGCTGATCAAGAATAGTTATATTACTATCAGAAATCAAGTTTGGAAATTTATATGAATTAAATTAAATTGGAATTCGTTTAGAAGAGAGCTTTTTAAACATATCAGTAAGTCCAGAAGTAATCATTGGTATAAGTTGTAGATTTCATCAATTACGCCATCACCTGATCATAACTGTTTGCCGAGTACATCATCAGATTATACTCTAAAAGAAATCGATCGATCGATTTATACTGCAAGATTCGTTTCTCTATCTTTTTTTTATAATATACAATCTATTTTTTCAATAATTCGAAATTTGATGATATTTGATGTTCAGGAAAATGAATGAATTTTTTTCAGGATAATTCCGGATCCACAACCGCTTTATCAAATCTACATGATGGAACAGAATGGGCAGCTAATTTATGAAACGGAGGAGCAAGAAATAACCGAAACGAGTTTTAGTGGAAAGAGTACCTCTAAGGTTAAAAAATGATAAAATCCTACTTCAGCATTTATCTAATTCTCCTCCAAATGCTTCTTGCTTCATCTTCATTTTCTGAAAGACAGGATTAAATCTCAGATGCAACGAGCTACCTCAAACTCATCAACAGACAGCGGACGTGGCGCAGATTGCTCTACAACTATATCACAACTTACGTCTAACACATCAATGAGACGTGATCGTTTGGTTGCAAGCAGCCATTTCGCTAGTCAACGATCATTATGGTGTGAACTTCCAGAGGTGAGTTCTTTTTTGCTTTCAAAAAATTCACTTTTCTAGGCTCCTTTCATGTCTGTTTGAAATTATCGGATTCAATGGTACCTTTTCTTAAAAAATTAAATTAAAACTTCTTAGTTTGATTTTGTCATGAAAGATTTACCTTTTTAGAAGTGACGATAATCTTTTGTCATAATTTTAAACTTTGTTTTTCTCAATCATATTTCAGTTTATCAAATTCATATTTTTATTTCTCTTCTTCTGCCTAAGAATAAGGATAATGATGAAATACAGATCAGATACTTTTTGAAAACTAAAAGATCATAAGATTGCAACAAAGGATGGCCAATTTTTTTGCCATCCATAACAATTCGATATCAGAATCACAATTAATCTATTAGGCATAATTTATCCAAATTTTAATTTTTTATTGAATTAGACTTTCTAGATTTCTGATTCAAGATTTTTGTTCGAATTCGTATTTGATTAGTTCTAGGTAAGAAGTGCAGGTTTACTGGAAAAGTTAGACGAAGATACGAAAAAAATGCAAGAAGCATATTTTGAAGTGATCACCAGTGAAGCATCTTATCTTCGTTCAATCAATATTCTAATAACTCATTTTATGGCTGCACCTGAAATGCTTGGTAATCTGTTTTTAATTCTTCCTCAGAAAACATTTTATAACAATTAGCCAAAAATAAATTCAACATTTATTTTATCAAAATTTTCAGGTTCCAAAAGACCTTCATCAGTGATAACAAATGAGGAACGAAAGCAACTGTTTAGCAATATATTCGCTGTTCGAGATTGTAGTGAAAAGTCAGAAAGTTGTTGCTAATATTTCACTCTATTTGTTTCGTCTTTTTGAAATGGAAAAATATGAATTTAAACTGACAGCGTGAATTTCAGATAATTTAAGATACAGCGTGAATTTCAGATAATTTATGATACAGCGTGAATTTCAGATAATTTAAGATACAGCGTGAATTTCAGATAATTTATGATACAGCGTGAATTTCAGATAATTTAAGATACAGCGTGAATTTCAGATAATTTAAGATACAGCGTGAATTTCAGATAATTTAAGATACAGCGTGAATTTAAGATATTAGAACAAAATATTTGCGCATGCAAAAAAATACGCATAAAGATATTCATATTTGTAATTACCGGTGACATTATAACCGTCCAGAATTTTAATCTAAATAATCCTACAATTTCATCCGGAAAATTTATTCCGTTTTGAGCTAATTTAAATTTTTTTTAAATTCATTTCTTTTTCTTAGCACTTATTGCTCTCTTTTTTGACTAATTAATTTTGTCGTAAATTTGTCGTTATGCATTTTTTCAGATTATTATTAGATTTGGAGAATAGATTACAAGAAAGTTTGGTATTATCCGATGTTTGTGATATTTTATGTGATCATTTTGAAACAAATTTCGATCCATATGTTAAATATTGCTCAAATCAAGTTTATCAAGATCGAACACTTCGAAAACTCAAGTTTGTTATTTTATGCAAATATTAAATGATTGTTTCAGCGAAGAGTTTGATATGTGATTTGAATCATAATATAATCCTATTAAATGTTATCATACTCCTATTACTTTCATGGATATCAAGAAGTGATGAATGATTATGTGATTCTTTTTTTCTCTTCTTAAATTCTAAATTTTTATAATTGCAGGTCTGAAAATCCCGCATTTCTTGCTTGCATTCAACGCTTAGAAGGTGATCGTCTATGTCAAGGATTAGATATGCGTTCATTTTTGATGTTGCCTATGCAAAGAGTTACTCGTTATCCACTTCTAATGATTGCAATTCTTGAACATACACAACAAGATACAACAAATTATCAGACTGCCCAAATTGCATTACATATGGCCAATCATGTATGTTTCTTGCTTCAAACAACCATACAAAATACCCATTTGATAAGGTAAGGGGTCAGAAGAAATTGCATTCAAGGCTCTCTGGTAAACTGCAAGTATCTTGCAATTTACCAGAGAGGTTCATCGTAGAGGTTGATGAAAATTTAATCATTTCTTTGCAAGATAACATGTTCCTCTAGAAAGATCTCAGTTATGTCATAGTGGGTGATTAGAGTTTATCACTATCGTTTGCAATACACGATTAGGTTAGTTAATAGATTATAAGCTAATTTGAAGATATGTACTTATTTTTAATAGCTATTTAATAAGATCGTTAAATTTGAAACGTAAATCTAAAAGATTATTAGTTCATTGCTGGAAGTAATTGCTAAATCAACTACTTGCAAATTGTTAATTAAAATAAAGACAAAATGAGTTTTTCATTTCGAATTTTAGATTGTCACTTGCTGCAATGAAGGTGCTCGACATATGGAACGTACCGAGCAGTTGTTAGAAATTGAACGTCACCTCGTTTACAAATCATCTGATTTGCGGTATTTTCATCATCAACAATAACAATCATTACCATATCCATTTGAATTCAACATTGTAATTCAAAGATTGCTAATACAATGAATGAAATTATTTTTATTCGATTTATTTCAGGCGTATTCCGCTAGTTTCATCGGGACGTTATTTAGTCAAACGTGGTTCACTTACGTGTTTGAATGAGAGACGTACTAAAAAACTCTTAAATACACGTCAACAATTCCAGAGCATATATATTTTCCTTTTTAGTGATATTATCATGCTAACTAAAAAGAAACTGTACGCATTTCACCTTAATTATTTTTTTTGAAAATAATTATTTCAAACGCTATCAAATTTTCATACGTCGTACCAAAATTATAAAATGTCGTAAAAAGAATTTATTATATTTTTGCCATCTATTAATTCATTGAAATCAAATTCACAAGAATTTTCATAATAGTTACGGTTTTGCTTTCCTATGCTATAAAACGTCTTCTTAATTAAAATTGAAATTAATCACTTTAAATTCACTATTTTTTTATTATCATATCATAATCAATTCAGTAATGGAACTTACATATGTAAAGATTATTCCGCAAGAAGATTTGTTGACATTGAACCGGTTGAAATTAATGATCCTAAGGTTTGTTCTATCGATAGAAAGTTTTATTCTTCTTTTGAATTTTACACTTCAAACGATAATTACTTAATCCACATTAAGTAATTCATAATTTCCATATTAAACTTAATACTTATTCTATCAAATGAAAAATTCATTTGAATTAGTCATCAATTTGAAATGCAAAATTGAAATTCATTTACACTTTAATAATTAAAATTTGTAGGAAAATAAATTTAAGAATTTTCTTGAAACAATGGAAATAAATTAACTCAGATTTTATTGTTTAAAAATAAATAACATTTCTAAAATTGCTATATTTGAATTCATTAAAATTCATCATTAATTAATATGAATTATGTTATTAAAAGAATTGCAACATTAAATGAATTTTTATAACTTATTAGTTTTTGAAATCAAAATTACTTTTTGTATTAAAATTACAATTAGTTAATCGATTCACCATTTCCTAAGCATACCTTCAAAAAACTTTTTTAGTGGATTAAATATAAAACTTTGAAAGGTATGCAGCAGAAATGTAACAAGTTGAAATTCGATGGTAAATTGTAATTGTTTCAGTTGTTGCAATCGGTGACAACTCACATTCCGTTAAAGAAGCCGCATCTTTTCATTTGTACATTAATGCATAATGCTGTAGGAAAACAAGTAGAACTTCTATTGAATGCAGATTCAGAAAGTGATCGTGAACGATGGTTATCAGCATTACGACCACCTGCCGTATAAATATATTTTCATTTCATTTATTGTTTCTCAAAATTTCTTTTTGAAAATTAATCAAAAGTGCTTGTTTACTTTATCACTTAATTAATTACAGTGTACTAATCCGGAAGAAAAAATCTATGCTGATTGGGATTGTCCACAAGCTGTTGCTGTGCATCGATATTCTCCTAATCAAGAAGATGAGTTACCGTTAGAGAAAGGCGATCTAGTCAATATATTACGAAAAATGCCAGATGGTTATTAATCTAATTTCATTTAATTAGTAAATAATTAATTATTTATTGAACAATTTCTAAATATGAACAAAAATGCAAATATTAATGCTATTATTTTAGGTTGGTTTTATGGAGAAAGAGTTCGTGACTGGTACAGTGGTTGGTTTCCATCTTCCTATGTTCAGCAGGTAGATTAGCTTTTGTTTGTTTAGTTTTGAATCTTTCCAGGAAGAAAATTTTTTCCGGAAATTTTTAAAATTGAAAAATATAAGATGACCTTTTCGGATATTGTTTCAAAAGTTCAATGAATATACAAACTACGATTTCAATTAATTAAACAATTCAAGTAGCGTGAAAAAACTAAACAAATAATAATTCAACAAATAGCAAATGACTGAGCAAATAACAGTTCAAATATACTTTTCTTTATTTACTTTATTTCATTTCCATTTTTGCATTTTATATTTAAAACAAAAGAATTCATTAGGTACTCAATGATCATGTTCGAGCAAAAAATTATCGCCAACGTTTACGGGTTATTCAGGTTATCGTTACTATATTTTCCATTGCAAATCCATCAGTAATTCTAATAGAAATTTAACTATCGGCTAACTAAATAAAACTCCGAGAAGTTGAATTTATTTTTTTAAAAAAAGCTTTTTTAATTTAATTTAATTTAATTTTAATTTTTTAATTTATTTTTTAGGCAGCTGCTCTTTTACGTTTTCGTCAAAAGCAGATGAAATTAGGAGCTGAAGAAAATGCTCGACATCTGATGGAACGATTTCGTCGATTGAGTAGCACCAAAAATGTATCGCAGAGTGGTTTAAGATTAAATTAGACTTATTAGAAAATGTTGATGTTTGTCATTTATCATATATTTTGTTTACTTTATCGATATGAGCGAAGTTATAAAGGGGAAATTGAAGAATGAAAATAGATGGTTAAAGCAATTTCTTTGTTAAGCGAATAATAATTTCTACGTTTTGTTATTTGTACAGCTATGAAATTATTATTAGATAAGTTTGGTTATGAAGGCTTATATAACTCGGAAAATATGTTATTGACAAATATCAGGCTATTTCAAATTGTCATACATACCCTAGCGGAATTCGATGAAACCAGCTTGAGATGCAAACAATGCTGCAAGCGTATTTATATTATTACTAATTGATGTTGATTTGAAAGATTTCAATCAGTATTGTAATTAATTATTTTAAGATCTCTAATTATTATTGTTTTCGTATGACTATTTGTTGAAAGCCAAAAAAAAAGTTTGAAATTTTTATTTCTTCTATAATTTATTCAATAGTACGAGCTTAACTTATTTTCATTATGTCGAATTCTGTTATAGCCACTATTGTTTTATTCTTATACAATTCCAGTTACACCGAAAATTGCAGTTTGTTATTGCAAAGTTACTATTAAATTAATTGTTAAAATTATTAAACATAAGATGAAAGTGAAAGTGCACTTTGAAATGATAAGTGGGAATGAAATACCTTGTAAGCAATGTTTAATTAAGATATCAATTAAATACATGAATTTCCATGCTCATTCGTTACCTGCATATTGTTTTTCACCTGTATTTCCACCCAGCTTTTTTGCAACCAAAATTTCATCTTTAAACGAGCGATTTATGAGTTTTTACGTTGTGCATCTACAAGTTTATTATTCTTTACAGATGCGATATCATTTACCTTCGGTTATCGATATATTAAAAAAGCAGAAATTACAACGCTTACACGTCCGTATCATTATTTTTGGTCAATTTTTATCGATTTCCATCCAGGGAATATTATCGGATTAAAATACTATTCTGTTTACAATTTAAGAAATATCAAATATAAATATTTAAGATATGAACAGTATATTTCTGATGAGAAGAGCCGAAAATTATTGTTAAGAAATGAAATTATTGCAAGTTTAAATAAATTTTAAAAGTTGAAGATTAGATAGAAATAGACGGTTGTCACTTAATCTTTCTGGGAAACGCTTTCTTGTAATTGAAGGATTTCGAAGTTGAGCAGTTATAATTAAAGTTTATGATTTGCTTAAGACCAAACAGATAATGAAGAGATGATGAAATGAATTAAGTCAAAATGAAACTACAATTTTCGTATGTACCAAAAGATATGTTCTCGTAGAATGCATGCAGTTATAAGGTGTAATACAAATAGCAAGTTTGCAATAGTAATTAAAATTATAATTATATACAAAAATTATTTTGTAATTGGGATGATTATGATGCCAAATAATTTCTACGCTTAGCAATGAAGACTTATGTATCGTCATGCAGTAGATCTTTGTCCCAATACCAATGTATTGCAAAATTAGCATCAAACAATTTGCTGATATTATCAGAAATTGTTAGAAAGAAATTTTAGGATTTAATAAATTTTCAGTAAACATATAAAGGAATAGAAATTGAACGAAACATATATATATATATACGATAAAAAGAGCAATGTGAATTATTTACAGTAATTTTCTTGCAATTTTGAAGAATACAAATATTTTAGGTTGGGTATTGCTAAATAGAAAGTAATTTGAAAGATTTGAAATTTGAAATAATAACTATTAATTAAATTAATTAAAAAATATTTTCTTTAATTTCTAACAGCCTTAAATTAAGTAAATTCTATTAAATTGACATTATGTAAATAATTGCAGAAATTGATAAATATCAATTATATGCTAAAAGTAATTTTTACTATTACTTTTTAGTTTAGTAATTTATTAAATCTAATTAAGTTTCTTTTTTCTTTTTAAAACAATAACTTCAAAGAAAAAGTTGGAACCATTCGTTCCAATTTATTTCCCCATAAAATAATGTGGAAAATGTTTGTTTATATATTTGTATGTTATAAAATTGGCAGAGCTATCTTTTTATTCTTCAAAAAATTAGTCTTGTCTTTTAAAAACAATGACTTTTACAACTAGAAAAATCTATGAGAAAACTTTAATGCCTGTAAGCAAGAGAACAATCATAGCAATTGCTATAATCAAAAACGTTAGCGCTAATATAGCTGATATTATCATGCATATTTTTTGCGCATTCGTATATTTAACATCTGAAATTATGATCTCAAAAAAACAAACATTCATATAATTCCGGTTATATTTACAATTTTACATTTTAAATATTTCGCTATATCATTCCGTATTAATTGAATTAAAATTAATTAATTACTTTTAATTTTTCAATTTCATGTATAATTTATTTGATCATTTTGTTCTCATCCATATTGCATTATAATAAAAATATGGTAACACTTACCATTTCCATCACCTTCACTTTTCTAAATAATAATAATAATAATAATAATAATAATAACGATAATATTTTTGAAATGGAAAATTTTAAAAAAATACAATCAATGAAATAACTTTTAATATCATAGAAAGATATCAGTATTGAAGGAATTATTTCCTCTTTACCGCATTTCTTATTTTCAATCATTTCTTAAATAATTTTAATAGCAATAGAAAAAGAGATCGCATAAACTAACTAAAAAAGAATAGTTAAAAAAAGTGTATAAAATAAATTAGCATAAAAACAAATTACAAAAAGTTACCTTTTTTGTTTCTCTATCCGTTCTTTTGGCATCTTCAAATTATTTTAATATAAAAAAAAATTTTATATATACTAATTTTGAAATTATAAACTTTAGTCAAAGTTAATTAGTGGAAAAGTTTTAAAATCATTTATTTTGTCTTCAATGAATTAATTTAAACCAAAAATATATTACGAAATTAGCAATATGTTTTTGATGATATGAAAGAAAAAGCATACCTATTTGAGCAGATTTTAATTCTGTGCGATCTACGCCTCCAGCTGTTGAAGCTGGTGTTTGTGGTGGTGGTGGCAAAGCATTTGCTGGTCCTAAATCCTCGTATTTATCAGCCATCTAAAAGATAGATTTATCGAACTTTCATGTAATTTTCATAAGATTCAACAACTGGAGGATCTTAAAGATCACAAGATCTTAAAATGATAAAAGTTGAAATCGTTTCGAAATCACTACTTCACAAAAAATGAACGAATGCTGGAACAACCAATCGCTTATGCTACCGATAGTAAAAGTTCTAAATTTATTTTTATTTAATAACTTATATATTACCTGCTTTTTATGAAAACGTTCATGACAAATTTGCATAAGAAGTTTGCAAAATATTGAATAAGCAAAAGAAAGTACTGTGGAAAAAAAGATAAATAAAAGAAAAGATATTTGAACAACAAAAAAGGTCAATAAAAAAAAAGAAATAATGAAAAGAGTACCAAAAATGTAAGGGTCAAATAGATGAAGAGTATCAAAAATGTAAGGGTCAAATAGATGAAGAGAATATCAAAAATGTAAGGGTCAAATAGATAAAGAGAGTATCAAAAATGTAAGGGTCAAATAGATGAAGAGAGTACCAAAAATGTAAGGGTCAAATAGATGAAGAGATTACCAAAAATGTAAGGGTCAAATAGATGAAGAGAATATCAAAAATGTAAGGGTCAAATGGATGAAAAGAGTACCAAAAATGTAAGGGTCAAATAGATGGAGAGAGTACCAAAAGTTTAAGGGTCAAATGGATCAAATGTAAGGGTCAAATAAATTATTTAAAGTTAATTTATTCCATTATTATTAAATAACTATGAAACTTGTTTCCAGGTAAGAATTTTTTTTACTTTTTATTATTCATCAATGAGTGTGAAATTTAATTTTTTCCATCACTGAATTTCCTTTTACTCCATCTTTTCATTGAAGTAAGAAGTATCATCTCCGCGATATGTTTACACAAATAAACTTTCTATGCTTTAAATTCATCAGTACTACGTAGAGATAGAGATAATTTCAAATAAGCTTACATACATCTTCAAAATATGCCGTGAAATGTTACGGAAAATGAATGAAAAAAGCTTTTCATATGATATTATGATATCACAATGATAAGAAGGAATATATGTTTCTGATCTTTTATGCGATCATTTGATAGTGATACTATTCGTTCCATATCATTTGAATTTATCTTTTCAACTCGAATATCAAAGTTCACAAGTAAGTGATTAAACTTTTTTAATTTTTAATTATTCTTCAGCTATAAATTTCCTCAACTAACTAACTAACTGGTTGCTTTAAATTCTAAATTTAAGAGAATTTGATGCCTCGTCTTCTATTTTCAATTTCACAAAATGATAAAATGTTAAAATTGACATTGCAAAAATTTGGTATTTGTTTCTTTCACTGATTCCTTTCAATCGTTATAAACCGTTCAACAGTAACTACAGTAAGTTATTCTTTTACTTTTTCAACAGTGATATCCGAAATTGAATATTGTTAAGCATATATTACTTTGGGACAATGTAATCCTTTAAAATTTCAAAATATAAAAGTATAATATCATCAAATATCCCATTCTTGATTTTTTTGAATTCGATACTGTAAGGAAGTAATTTCTGCTTTGGCGCAAAGAATTTGTTGTTGCGCTCGATCTTTCTCGCTCTGTTTCATTTTCTGATCAGTCAAATTTAATTGAACACGAAGCTTAGATTTCTGATCTTCGCACTATAAATTTAAATATCACAATTTTGAAAAACTAATGTATAATTCGAATTTGAAAAATTAATATAAAATGCAACCTAATATTTTAAAATTTAATATCTAAGAATGAATAAATCAAATGTTAGAAAAATTGCTTCCAACTGAATCATAAAACAAAAAAATCAATTAAATTAAAATTTATTTAATTCTAAAAAGTTCAAATGTCTTCTTTGGTAAAGTTTGAATTCAAACAGTGAAACTGTCGAAAAAGCACACTTACCACAGCTAATATGTTCCGTAATAACTGTAACTTCTTTTCCGTAGTTTTCAATTCATTTTGCACATCGATAATATAATCGGTGTCAACAGAGATGGATGAAATGCTATGAGAGATTATATTCAACTTTCATAGAACATTTTCAATTTTGAATGAAATTAAAATTTTAAATAACTTTTCCGAGTTCTCAAACATATGATTCATTCATGAGTATAATAGATGAGCATAATAACATATGATTCATTCATGAGCATATTTTAAAAATTTAAACTTAATTACTTACTTATGTTTTTGTTCATTTTTTGCTAAGCATTTTGTTGCATAAAATTCGTTGCATAAATTAAATGATTGTTCTTGCAAATTATTGATAATTTTCTGATTTTTTCTTGACCTTAAATTACGACAATTGTTGAAGAGAAATCTATCCAACTTTTAAAGCTTTTAAAGTTTCGTAAAGTTTAGAAATTTTATGGGACAAAAAAAACGATAATGAAAGAACAACGAAATGGCATTTAGTCTTATCGCTAATATGATCAATCTAGGTCTTATTTTGTAGCATAGAGTTAATTTTGCAAAAATTATTGCCACCTAGAAATGATGATAATAATTTGCTTCAAATGAATCAGAATAGTATTATTCATTATTAATCTTATAGGTTAAGCAAAATTTACGGAAAAATAAACGAACCTAATTTTAGCATAAATAATTTTCTCTTTTAAACAATTAATATTATTGGCGATTTTCATCATTTCATTATCTTTAACATCAAATTTATGCTTCTCTTGTGAATACAACAAATTTTTGGTACATTTAAACATATTTCCAATGGAATTTTTTAGTTGTGAAATGGATTACGTCTGGAAGAAAACGTGACAGTTAGTTAGTTATATTTTAGGAAAAATATTTGCGCTAATAAAAATTTAAAAATACTGAAATCATGAGAACTGGAAATAGAATGATAGTAAAATACTTTCCTAGCAGATTTTCAAGAAAACTATTTCGTTCATTTATTTGAAAGTTATAAGAAAGAAAGCAAATTACTTTATATGAAGATATCGAATAAAAGGTATAGAGAAAATAATGAATGAAACTTTTGATAAATATCCGTAAGATAACAAATATTCAACCGCTCAGAAATTTGTATGATCTAACAAAACTGATAGTATCATACTGACAAATTTACTTTGAGAAGGTCAAATTTTTTAGATGAATAAATAGCAAAATGATTGGAACATTCGGTGATATATACATTTTGAACATTTCGGTGATACATACATTTGTGGGTATATTAGTAAAATCATCAAATATCCGCTATTTTTATCACGCTATTATAAATTATCTTAAATTCAGTAGAGTTTATTTATTTTGTTGATAATATTAATTACAAATGGTACTAAGAATCAGTCTTAATTACATGATTCCTGATTCGATATTTAGTTTATCGATGAAATAAATCAAATGTAACGTATAAAAAGTATATCAAAAATAATTCATGAAATAAATTAAGCAGTGGTATGGGACCAAGATCTACTGCACGACGACACATAAGTTTTCATTATTAAGCGTAGAAATTATTTGGCATCATGATCATCCCAATTACAAAATAATTTTTGCATATAATTATCATTTTAGTTACTATTGCAAACTTGCTATTTGTATTACACCTAATAACTACATGCATTCTACGAGAACATATATTGAAAAATTTTATTACAACTATAGTATCAATTGAAATCTTACTAATATTTCAGTTTTATTTGGAAATTTTAAATTAGCTATTATATTAAGCTTCTTCTCAAATATATAAGCTGTAGTGGAATTTCAAGAAAAAATTAATTATTAGCTTATAAAACAAATGAAGGTTTTGCATATGAAATGATTGAAATAAAAACAAGCAATTATTTTACTTGTAAAATTAAGATTGAAAATTTGAACGAACCAAAATTTGATTCTTTCTAAATAATTAAGTGAAATAAATTGCATCGATCCGATTCATCGCTTCTCTCAATCACTACTTCTTATCACTTATCAACAATTTAAGGCAATATATTTGCATTCTACGAGAAAAAAGATCTGATGATAAAGATAACAATATGGCTCTTAATCATCGCACAGATGAAAATGAATCATTCAATACTTTGCGCACATATTTATTTGCATTTGAATATCTAAAGTAGAAATCTATGCACCGATATAATTTTGTAGAATAAAAATAATGAAAAGTTTGATAATGAAATATCGTTGGATACAGAAAGGTAAATATTAATTTTCTTATATAAGTTCCGTTTTTCCGGATCAAATGGATAGTATTAGTGAAACTGCAATTAAGTAGCTGAACAGTTTTATGCGTTTGATAAGATTTTATAAAAATAATAATTGGCAAAGAGTTGACAGCAAACTATCAATCGCTTTTTCTAAAACTATAAAATATAAAATGAGCAAGAAGTGCTCATTCATTCAAATTAACAAATTATTCCTCTTACTAATTATAATATAGATAATTATCATATAGATAATTAGTAAGAAGAATAATTTGTTAATTTGAATGAGCAAGAAATTAAAAGAATTAAATTGCTTTCATATTTTGTATGAACTTTATTGGTATTTCTTCAATTTCTTTCATTTCAATTTACCTTTACTTTAAAAGATGAATTATTAATTCCAGGTAATTATTGTTGTAAAAGTTTTTTAATTTTGATAGAAATAAATAGTTTATAATTAAATTTTATTGGTTGATGATGAGTTAATTATTTGTTCTCCTTCGAATATATGCGTTGGTCGTTATGGTTGATTTCGATCGGTATAGCTAGTAGTAGTACTGATAGAAGAAATATCTTTCTAGAAATAATTAGAAATAATGAAGGTAAATAATGAATACTGTAGTAATAAATGAATATGAACAAATTCGAGGTAGCCTATTTTGACCAAAAAGAAAGCTAGGTAAATCATAGAAAGCTAAATAAGCTAAGTAAAGCTTCTAACAAATGAAGTGCATTATTTACAGTGCTTTTGGAATAAAATAGAATTAAGCAATTAAAAAAAAATTCATTACTTAACAACATTTTACAAATTAATTCAAATAATTAATTTATAGCATTTTTTT